CGCACATTACAGAAAAGGAAGAAAGAGAAAAAAAAACAAATTGTTTAGGCCCCAAACAGACTGAATATTGTTATGCATTAAATTTGTTTTAAGTCAATCGCCGTCCACACACAACAGTTAATCCACTAATCAAAATTGAGCATAGCCTCTATAATGTGGTGAAAAAAAATGTATACGGTGCACTTTCGAGTTCTAAAAAAATTATTTTTATATGTTAGATCGAGAACGGTTTGGAAACTCACAATCTGTAGAATATCCAACAAAACTAGTATACTATTATTTTATAATAATTAATTTTTTCGAGCGACATCACATTTATTCATCTATCTATCCATGTATATCTTCCACTGTTCAATCAGGCTATTAAGTGATTGGCGCATTAAGAGTTGAATTAAGTTAAATCGTCTCAAAAAGATGATTTATCTCTGTTTTAACGTTTCTAGCCATTCTATTGGTTAATTCAGTTTTATCGTGTTCAGTCTGTTCGGGGCCTAAGGCTCCGAACAGACTGAAAAAAATAAAACAAATTAAGCAACGTGATTGGTCTATTTCGATTTAAATCGTCTTTTTGAGACGATTTATTCGTTAATTCCGTTTTAATTCACTTTGAATTAGTCGGTCTGTTCGGGGCCTAAGGGGTCGAACACACTAGAGACAACTGTCTTAACTTAAGTCTGAATTAACCAATCACATTACTTAATTCAGACTTAAGGCATAGAACATACTGCCAAACGTGTTAAGTTAACGCGTTTTAAATTTCTTGTCCGTTCACACTGAAGGGCTAAATAACCAATCAGATTGATAGGTACACCTCCATAATGTGCACAAAAAGAGTCTATATAAAATATAATACATTGAAAGATGTCGTTGTTGTATGTACATATGATGGTATAACTTAAGTTTATGTAAACACCTTTGTTTTTGCGAGTTTTGAGGATGAGGGTTGTGTATACAAACTAGACTTATTCCAAGTCAAATATGCTAATCGATAGAGCGAACTTCGCTCTACAAAACTGCATATTTAGTTCTGGAACAAGTGTAATTTATGTAACAATCCTCGCCCTCAAAAGTTGCAAAAAGCAAAGGTGTTTACGTAAACTTAACTTGTTCCGTACATGATTTTTAATAAGATATCATTAAATACATCTTCAAAATTAAAAATGTATTGAAGAAGTTCATAAACGAAATTCATCTGATCGTACCTAAAAAGAATTAGATCGTTTTTGAACAGTTGCCATAGTATCAACTATGTTGAAAATATTTGTAATCTTTGACGATAATGTCCCAACGAAAAAAATGTTTAAATGTGAGTCACCACAAGTTAATTTTTCGATTGGAGAAGCGACATGACATTTGATTGGCGCATTAAGTTAACTCGTCTCAAAAAGATGAGTTAACTCTGTTTTAGCGTTTTATGCAATCTCATTGGTTAACTCTGTTTTATTTTTTTCAGTGTGTTCTATGCCTAAGTCATCTTTTTGAGATGACTTAAGTATAAATTAACCAATCACGTTGCTTAAATTTGTCTTAAGTTAAGTCACTTCTGTAGTGTGTTTGACCCCTAATTCAAAGTGAATTAAAACGGAATTAAGAGATATGATTGGTGTTTCTACTTAGCAACACCAATCATATCTCTTAATTCCGTTTTAATTCACTTTGAATTAGTCGGTCTGTTCGGGGCCTAAGTCATTGGTCGTATCAATCATAACTCTATTTGTCAAAATAAACTACTCTTTTATTAACAATCATGAGTTACTTTTTAAAATATGTTGAAATTGATAATTTTAAATCATATAAAGGTCATATTATTATCGTTTTATTACGAAAGTTAACGGCTATTATTGGACCAAATAGATCTGGTAAATCCAATCTTATGGATGCTATTAGTTTTGTTCTTGGTGAACCAACAAAAACTTGACGTGTTGGAAAATTATCTGTATGTATATTTTTCATCATTTTTTTTAATTAAAATAAATAATTTTCTTTAAAAAAGGAATTAATTCATGGTGCACCGATTAATAAATCAGTTAGTAATCGTGCATCAGTTTCATTAATATTCGTTACAATAAAAACTGATTGTCATGGTGAACGTACTGAACATGAAAAACGTTTTCAACGTTTAATTGTTGGTAATGCATCTGAATATCGTGTTGATGGTCATCAATTATCAGCAACTGAATATACTGAAGAACTTGAAAATATGGGTATTAGTCCCAAAGCAAAAAATTTTCTTATATTTCAAGGACAAGTTCAATCTATAGCTATGAAAACACCAAAAGAATTTACAGCTATGTTTGAAGAATTAAGTCGTAATGATGAATTACGTGAAGAATATGAACAAGGTAAACAAGAAAAAAATAAAGCTGAACAAGATACACATGCAAATTTTCAAAAAAAAAAGAAAGGTGTTGAAAAACAAAAGAAAGAAGTTCGATTAGAAAAAGAAGTTGCACAAAAATATGCAGCATTAAAAAGACAATATGTAAGATAAATGAAAATTGAATTTTGTCATATGATTTCCCGAGTCGAACTTTTTTTTTCAAGAGCTTGACAAGACTTGAGCTCAAGATGTGTCCATAGCGCATGACTTTCTTGGTCAAGACAAGCATCTGAGTGATCGCATGAGTCATGCGCATTGTTGAAGAAGTCATGCGCTGAACTCAAAAACTTACTAGTGCGAGTTTTTATTAAAATTTCAGTCATTTTGAACGTAGAACTGAAAAAAAACGATGAAAATATTTCTTTAATATTCAAGCACGTAACATTTCTTGCACAGACATTCAAGCGCATGAGCAAGAATATCAAGCGCTTTAGTTTTTCCTAATGGTCTCAAGTCTTGACTCAAGATGTGTCCATAGCGCATGACATTCAGGGTCAAAAAACTCAAGAATGTCATGCGCTTACTAAAATAAGTTTGACTAGGGTTGTTTATTTTTTTAGGATGAACTTCAATTACAATTAAAATTGTTTCAATTATACCATAATAAACAAGAATTAACTGAAAAATGTCAAATAGCTGATAAGAAACGAAAAGAAGTTGCAAAATTAGAAAAACGAAAAGAAATATCGAATGATGAAATCAAAGTTACAAAGAAAGAATTAGCTCATTATAATAAAGAACTTGCAAATGATGAA